CGGGTGGTCAGTGGGGGCAAGCGCCAGGCCCCACCAAGCCTCTGAGTGCTGCACTGGCACACACACCTCTATCACTCAGATTGCTCCTGGAAAACCAAATGGATCAGCCAAAACCCACGTGGATTGGCACAACCCCCCTGCCAGGGCTCTGAGGGTGTTAAGGTTCCCCATGGCAGGACCCTGTTAGGGTTAAAGAATCATAGAATCATAGAATCATAGAATCATAGAATCATAGAACGTTTTGGGTTGGAAGGGACCCCTAGAGGTCATCTAGTCCAACCTCCCTGCAGGAGCGGGGACACCGCTAACTAGATCAGGCTGCTCACAGCCCCGTCCAACCTGGCCTTGAATGTTTCCAGGGATGGAGCCTCCACTACCTCTCTGGGCAACCCCTTCCAGCGTTTCACCACCCTCATTGTAAAGAATTTCTTCCTTACATCTAGTCTAAACCTACCCTGGTTTAGTTTAAAACCATTACCCCTGAAGCCTTGGATCAAACTGGGAAGCCAATACATTTCAGTGGGAGAGAGTTTCCTTTTCAATGCTGAAGACACAGGGAATATCACACCTTCAGCACATCTTCTGAACCACTAAATGTTCCCCAGCTGAGCCTTTGGGCAGCAGAGGAAGGAGGAAGAAGACGAGCCCAGCCTGTGGGAGGAAGGACAGATTTCTCTGGTGGGATGAGTTTAATACTGCTGTTCTCCAAAATGAGTCACAGGTTGGAGAAGTGGGGCATTAATCTCAGGGGAGATGAGTAAGTGGGCAGCGTGCGAAGGCAGCGGTCAAAGGAGCATCGCGATTTATACCTGCGGCTTAGCTCCTCCTGTGCATTAGCAACGGCTTCTGCTGTTGATTAAAATCAGAAATTTTCCACTAGCTCCCCAGAGTAAAAAAAGAAAAAATATATATATATATAATTAAAACCAAATGATGTCACCTTTGAATGCAATCAGCAAATTTAGATTTGCAGATTTTTCAACGTATCTCACTCTGAGGCATCGTTTCAGCATTCAGCACTCTCTTTCGCAGCCTTCCTGCGGCAGTCGGGCGTCCCCGGGTCCTGGCGTACCACCAGGCAGGGAGTTACTTGATGGAGCGGTTTTGCTGTCTTATTTTCAGAAGTGATTTTCGGAAGGCGTTTTCAGGGGGTGACAGAGAGGCAGTGGCACCCTGGGGGCTCAGCCACCCGCCGATGCCCACGGTCACTGCCGGCATCACTGATGACGAGTCCTTAGAGAGGAGTGGCAGCTCTTCAACATTTGGGTTTTTATCCTTGCACCGTGCTGCCGCTTAAGTGCTGGTATTAATAAGGAAAGTGTGTGCTCAGCAATTGTAATTAAAGTCTGTTAAAGGAAAAAAAAAAAGCGTTAATCGTTTAAAACGGTTACACTGTTAATGTTCTCATTAGTGTTCCCCAGGACCCAGATCCCCGCCAAAGAGCCTCGGTGGCCCAGAGCAAGCCCCTGTCACCCAGCGGCCTCGGCCACCCCACGGGTTCCTCAGAGGGGTTTAAGCAGTTACGAACCAGGGGGTTAAGACCCACTCCCTGCAAGTGGCAATGAATAACTTTCTTGGTGTATTGGGTACGTAAGTCTAGAGATGTTGCTCGTTGGCCGAAGACGCCTTGAGTGTCCTCATTTGGGGAGCAAGGGCGAGAGGGAAGCAGTGAGATGTTGATTCCGACTGTGATTCAAGTAGCTCCTGACTCAGAGCCCAATGAGGTTGGTGGGAAGTCTCCTCCCGATGCTGGTTCAGCCCCGAGCTCAAAACCAGGCAAATCTCCTGCGGCTGCATGAGGGCTGCTTGTCTGAACCAGGCGGGACAGTTCCGTGAGTTGATGGCGCTCATGCCATCGCCTAGGTATGGAGGAATTCCCGGTTGCCCCTTCCCAGAAGCTTTGCCTGTCCCCTGCGTAACAGGAAAAATTCTGACTTCTAGTGTTTTACCATTGGGAAGCTCTCCTCCAGCTTCCAAAATCCACCGAGCCCCAGGAAACCTCATTGCTATCCCAGGAAACTGCTGTTCACTTCCAGAAGTGAGGCAACAGAGCTGGCAACAGCCGTCAGACTGCAGCGGGCTCTGAGCGATGGAAAGCAACCTGTCCCGGGCAACGGGAGGTTGGTTCTGAGAACTGGGCACCAAAACATTCAAAAACTCGAAGGTTTATTTACAGGCACAAAGTATTTCTTGGATCCCTCGCGTTCAGGCGAGATGAAACGGGCAAAGATGCCACCTGGCTTCAAGGAAGGTCGATCATCCACAATAATTTGGCATTTTTCCTTGAAAAGAAGAGACCTCAGAAACAAATGGGAGGTGGTTTCAACTTTTCAAGCTTTTTCAGTGCACCTGAAACGGTGCTTGGAGCAAACAATGTAACCAGTAAGATGCTCTGAAAATTGCACTGGGAGGGAGTTACTGATGGAGCCCTGGGAGTCTCGGAGCTGGGATGCTGCTAGACACCGCGCCTGGCATCTCTGCGCCAAAGATGAGGGTGACCTCAGCAGATGTGCTAAGGACACGAAGCCAGGAGGTGTCATCAGCACAGGGAAGCGGTGGGATACGTTGGAAACTCTGAATGACCTGGGGGAGTGGAATGACAGCAGGGATATGGATGTCAAGGTCATGCATGCATGCAGGGACTAATAAACAAGGATTTCTGCTGTCAGCCAGGAGCTCATCCATTCAAAATGACTGAGGAGAAGGAGGATCAGGGTGTACTGGTTGATCGCGGGATGAATTATGAGCTGCCAATGTCTTAAAGTCATAAAAAAGCAGCTCTAACCCTAGGCTGCATGCGCTGTTTGCAGTAGATGCAGGGGAAGACGAGCATTCCTGTAGAGGGCTGGAGAGGCCCCATGTAGCGGACAGGGTACCACGCGTGGTACCTCCAGGCATTAAAGGAGAACACATCTCCAAAGCCTGAAGCAGGTTTCCCACAGGGAAGAAGATCATCTGGCTTGCATCGGACACCCAAGGCCTCTCCAGCAGCACGGGGATGCCTCTGGGAAGGCCCTGGGGCACCCCGGCCATGTCCCAGCCTCCTCCTCCTCCGCTCGGGAGCCCTGAGCCCTTGTCCGCTCTCTTGTTTCTCTCCTCAGGGTGTTACGGGAATGCAATGAATAAAGGAGACTCCAGAGCTCTTTGTCTTGGCTCATTCCTCTCTCTTATTTATTAGCTCTAGCCCAGCTCAGGGCCTCATAAATCAGCCCAAACTCACCCTCCCGGCTACCTGCTATCTGCATGCAGGCGCCTGTGTGCTTGTCTCTCCAGTCCACCTCTCTCCTTGAAATCCCACCCTGGACCCGAGGACCCGGTGCAGTACAAGGGAGCGAAGGTGGGAGCCAGACAATCTATCACCTTCCCGAGACCCTGCCGGCAATGCACCCGTGGGGAGATCTCTGCCCCGGTGGATGGAGATCGATCAGCATCGCAGGGATGATGCTGGCTGATTAATTAGCGACAGACAGCCTTCAGCTTCGTGTCCCGCTGCTCCTCGCTACAGTCTAAGATGTGAATGCTATTGATTTCCTGAGTCCCGTCTTCCTTCTGTCCTGTAATCCCTTTGCTGGCGGGGATCTCAGCAGAAAAATTGGCGGTGGACGTGTGTTTGCACACACACATGCATAAATATACAGCGGTGGAGGTTTAAAAACCACTGTTGCCCAAAGCAAGTGAAGTTTAGGTTAGTGGTCATCAAGGCAATGCTAACAAGAAGCAAATATTTAGCTGTTAAAATGGAAGAAACAGCCACTGCCTTCCAAGGAGGATTCCCAGCCCGCTGTGCCTGCGGTGTCCTGCCATGGAGCAATCCCTCTGCCCCGGAGCCCAGCATCCCCGCAGGTCCTGCTGGGGTGGGCCCCGGACAGCTCCCAGCTGCCCACCTCCACCTTTGGGTCACCATCACCAATGGGGATTTCACAAAAGAAAATACTGCAGAATTTCCATGGAGAAATGCAGAGGTTCAGATGTTTTGTCACGGTTTGTGATGAAGATTGGCTCTTCCCTGAGATAACTCCAGAATGTGACACTTGACGTTTCCCTCCATCCCCCAGCTCTAGGCAAGTCCTGGTCATCACCCCAACCCTCACCAGGGGAACTTGGGGCTCTCGTCCTCTCCATCCCTTTTCCCCTCTGGACTCGTGGTCCCTTGCGGCCCTCGTGACATCTGCCCATCTCCTCTCTCCTCATATCCTTATTTCTCAAGACAAGGAACATCTCTGGGACATAGCTGATGGGTGCCAGGAGCCAAAGGAGGTGGCTGGGATGGAGGCTGGAGGGGTATGTGGGAGCAGGTGACACCATGGGCCACCTCCGCTCCTTGTGTCACACCCCAATTACTGTGGTTTTCCAATCGATTTAACAGAACCGCAGTGGTGTTGGGATCTTTTTCGGGGAGGGTAAACACACCGCATACAATTCAAACAGCATCGCCCACTGCCCCATCTTGCTCCTGTGGAGATGTCCAAGCTTCATCCCGATTTCTAACCGGCATTTCCAGCAGACAAAGCAAACACACCTGCAGGCTGGCGGGGCGCCGAGGGGAATGGCCAGGAGCAGGCAACTGATGTTCATGGGAATGGTCCTTCTTGTTGTCAGGAATCACCAACAGCACTTACACAGAGTCCCAACGACGCTGAATTTATCTCAGCCCGGCGGGGTCTTCTGCATCCCCCAGAGCAGAGGCCGGTTGCGACAGACACGGAGATGCACCGTTCCCATAACGGGAGCCGGGGCTGCTTCGGAAGCTGAGGCTCCTGGCAAGAGGCACGTGAGAAAAGAGCCAGCTTCGAACAAGATGACTTCTCGATCCTTTAACTTGTAGTCGCTGATCACAGCAACGTTAGACAAATGAATGTTGAAGCTGGGTCAAGTAATTATTGCAGGTTCATAGCGACATGCTTCTCGGGGAGTAACAACTCTGACAATCGTAAATAATACGCAGCCAGAGCACGGGGCTGCCTGCCTGTTGCCGAGATGAACATGAAGGCATAAGCTGCTGCGCCAAAAAGAACACACCTAAATGTTTACAATCAAAGGGATGCTTCCAAACGCACTGGCTGCGTTCCTCTTTGTAGGGCTTTCTCCTCTTCTTGCCTGTTTCCACGATCAGCGCATTGCTACAGCAGAAATGGCATCGTGTACCTGCCAGAGTGAAAAAGGGCCACGGGAAACAAGAGGCAGAGCAAACAAGGAACAGCAAAAGGGGCAGCTAGAGGAATGAGAGCAGGGAAAAACATGACCGTTCCCAAGCTGACACCAAAAGGGAGCAAATGAGGAATGCTCGGCAGAGTTTGGGGGAAGCCCCAGTGCCAGTGGTTGATATGGAACCAGCAGGAGCCTGGAGAAGCGGAAAGTCCAAAGCACCCCGGCTCTCACCCCTGCACAGAGCAGGAGAGACACACTCGGGAAGTCCTTTTCTCCTTATCACTCGTCCCTCCTTATCCGGCTGAGAAATGGCGGTGTGTTCCTCGTGCATCTCAGCTCTTGGGCTTCTCCCCCTTCTGAATACCGACGTGGGAGCTTGTAATGGTACCTGCTCCCTGGATCCCGGGAACGAGGGGATGGAAAGAGCCTCTCAGTGTCCCTGCCCGAAGCTGTGCCTGCAACGGATTGGGCCTTTTCAGGCTAAATCTGGTAAGTCCCACTCGGATCTCTTCAACACCGACCACAGCTGCTGACTAACAGGCAGGCAGGCTGGGAGCGACGCTCTGCTCCAGCAGGATCCCGCTCCTCCGCTATCCATCCCTGCGCTCACCCACGCAATGCCACAGCTCAGGCGCAGCGGTCCTGGGCTGCAGAGTCACCTGCGTCCCCGCAGAGGGGTGACGGGCCCCTGCCGCCACGGCTGCTCACACCGTATCCCTTTCATCTGCCCCAGACTCAGGTGAACAGTGTGGCTCAGCAACAGCGGCCAGCAAACGGCTCCCCAAGAAGGGGGCAGGTAGCCCTGCGTCGGGGGCATAGTCCCCGAGTAGGGGACAGCCAGCCCCAGGGTGCCCCCCAGTACTTCTGCCATCTCCCCACCATGGAAATGGGTGCACCCAAGAGCGGTGGCAAGCGTGCTATGTGTTTTGGCTATTTCAGAAAATAATCTTGATTTCTGGGGTGGTGGGATCCGTGCCAGCTCCCCACGCTCCAGATGTGCACGTCCAAGCAGCCTGACGAAAGAGCACTTGCGACTGTCCCATTTTGAGGGACAGGCTGTGGATGTTCTCCACCTGGACTTCAGCAAAGCCTTTGACTCTGTCGCCCACAGCATTCTCCTGGAGAAGCTGGTGGCTCGTGGCCTGGACAGGCACACTCTTTGCTGGGTAAAAAAGTGGCTGGATGGCCGAGCCCAGAGAGTGGTGGTGAATGGAGTTAAATCAAATTGGTGGCTGGTCACAAGTGGTGTTCCCCAGGGCTCAGTGTTGGGGCCAGTTCTGTTTAACATCTTTATCGATGACCTGGACAAGAGGATTGACTGCACACTCAGCAAGTTTGCAGATGACACTAAGCTGGGTGAAAGTGTTGATCTGCTTGAGGGTGGGAAGGCTCTACAGAGAGACCTGGACAGGCTGTGTTGATGGGCTGCGGCCAGTTGTATGAGGTTTAAGAAGGCCAAGTGCCAGGTCCTGCCCTTGGGTCACAACAACAACATGCAACGCTACAGTCTTGGGGAAGAGTGGCTGGAAAGCTGCCTGGCAGAGAGGGATCTGGGGATACTGGTCAACAGCCGCTTAGTATGATCCAGCAGTGTGCCCAGGTGGCCAAGGTGGCCAACAGCATCCTGGCTTGTTTAAGGAATAGTGTGGCCAGCAGGAGTAGGGCCGTG